AGCAGGGAGCCCGATGCGGGGCTCGATCCCAGGACCCTGGGATCATGACCTGAGCCGAAGGCAGACGCTTAACAACTGAGCCACCCAGGCGCCCATGTTGTTTTGATGACAGTGCATTTCGTAAGGCGGGTCTCTCACCTTATTATTTATGATTCTTGGCCTGCGAGGTTGTTGAGGGTGGGGCCTGACTTCCAGGACAAGCTGCTGGCCCGGCACCTGGGGTGAGAAGTGGAGTGCGGGAGATGACAATATCCGTGATGGTTGGATCACTAGAGGTTGCCTGGGGAGAGTGAGAGGAGATGAGAGCCTGTGAGTGGCCTTGAGGAGGTCTGCCGTCTTGTTCTTGGACGTTTAGAAGGCATCTAGCAGTGGCTGCGTGCTAGCTGGCTTTGTCCCCTGAGCTGGATGGAAGCCTTCCGAGGGCGAGTGTCTGCCCTGCCTTCTTCTTTTTGGCTCTCCTTGGGTCTGCAGTTGCCTGGCACAAGGCTTGGTCATTGTGGAGAAGGGGGCCTGGCTGACAGTCCGGCTCCCTGCCCCTCATTCCCTGTGTCAGCTTGGATGTGTCACTTCTCCTTTCCACGTGCTGGGCCCTGTGAACAGGGACATTGGGCTAATTCCACGCTCGGGGCCCTGTGAACAGGGACATTGGGCTGACTTCTGATTCAGCTCCCTGCCTGCCCGGAGCCTCTGAGTCAGTGGGAAGAGGCTGGGTAGCTGTGAACCGCCTTGGCTGTTGTGGTTAAGCTTAAGGGTCTGCCACTTCCTTGGCATGACCTTGGGCACTTCGCTTAATCTGTCGAGCTTCTCGAAAGTCCTCAGAGAAGCAAGGATGATTCTGGCCCTTACCTCATGGGTCAGGATTAGATGTGATGGTGTTTTTCGGCATAGAGCTTGGCTGATACTCATGCCAGGCAGGTAAACATCAGCTGGAAGGAACCCAGGGCTGGCATTTTGGTAAGAAAGCTTTGCTTCATGTTCACAGGAACCTGGGTGTCTGTAACAAATGCAACAGGATCAACTTCTATCAAGTAGCAAATGGAAGGTGCCCCTTCCAGCCAGTTCCTCTCCCTGGAAGTGACTCAGTTGCATTTTGTCCAAGTTGTTACTTCATTTCACTCAGTGGGGCTGACAGTTGGAGGCACACAAGTGGGTCCCTGCGCTGTGGCAGCTGAAGTGACAGTTGAGGGCGGGCCAAGGGAGCAGTTTCTGTGACCTGCCTCTCCCTGGCTGGCTCAGGCGGTGTGTGGGTGGGTGTTACTCAACTCTCCCCCTAGGGGAACTGGGCTTCCCTGCAGCTCTCGACTCAGGATGCACATTCTGCTTTCAGCATTTATTGTAAGAAACGGGCCGGCCCTGCCATAATTCTGCTTCTGAAAGTTTTCCTATGTACCTACTTGCACAGATGTACAAAAGCACATGGGCCCAGGGGTATCCACTGGAGGTGTGTGTGTGTGTTTAAAGATTTTGTTTATTTATTTGAGAGAGAGATTGAGAGAACGAGTGGGAGGAGGGGCAGAGGGAGAAGCAGACTCCCTGCAGAGCAGGGAGCCCGATGTGGGGCTCGATCCCAGGACCCTGAGATCATGATCTGAGCCGAAGGCAGACACTTAACTGACTGAGCCACCCAGGTGCCCTGAAGCTGGGTTCAGGGAACACATAAGAGGGAAGAATTGGAAAAGATTTCAGCAGGCCCCAGCCAGGAGCCAGGGACATAAGGTGGAAGCTCCATGGCTGTCATAAAGAATTGCAGTCCTACTTGTGGGAACGTATCCAATTTATCCTACAAATGTATCTGTAGAGGGAGGAAATGAACACATAGAGGTATTTACTGCAGCAGGTATTTGAGGATAGCAAAATTATTGGAAGCAATTGAGACAACCCTCGGTAGATGGCTGGCTAGTTAGATAGACAGTGGGATCAGGCGGGGCCTCTGTTAGTTGTAGAAAGAGCCAGAAGCTCCCCTGAGAGCTGATGGGCAGATTTCCAGGTATAACAGACAGCAACAGCCAAGTGCAAAGTGAACCTTTGGGGCTGTGGGAAACGCTTTTATCTTGATGGTAGTGGTGGGTTTGTGGCTGGGTGCCTGTGTCAAAACTCAACGAACTGCACCCTTTAAATGTGTGAATGACACGTCCATACAGTTGGTTTGAAAACAACAAATAAGCAAGGTGCAGATCTGTGGGAGAGGGGAGAAAACAAGCTCACGTATGCTCTTATTTGAACAGAGAAACGCCGGAAGGAAACAAGGCATTTACAAAAAGTTATTTCCTTCCAGGAGAGGGGGACAGAAGAACAGGGAGGGAAGGAGATATTTCACTTTTCTATAAACCTTAGATTTTCGACCCACATGACTGCATTACCAATTCCATATGGAGATGAACAAAAAGGAATGTTCTGTTATGGACAGTTGTGTTGTGGTTAGCAGAAAGAGCATGCGCCGAACTGTGTGGTATATATCACGTTGTGTAAGAAAGGAGAGCACCAGTTGCGGCGGGAAAGAAAATGAGGCATGGCGGGTGCCCCTGGGGAGCTGGGCGTGCAGGAGGAAGGCTTGATTGGAGAGGTAACCCTTCTTTCTGTTTGGTCTTGCCTTAAAATCGCATCCATGCCTGAGGCCAGCTGAGAGATGGAGGCTTAGAGCAGCAAGTGGGAGAGCCCCGACCCTCTGGGACCCAGGTGATGGGACAGGCCAGCAAGGGGAGGAAAGAGACGCTCAGCTCATGCGTTCAGCCTCTGCAACTATTCTTTTATTGAATATTCGGCAGTGACAGAATCAACAGATGCTTGATTCAGGAGAAGGCTTTCCCTCCCTGCCCCCGATTGCCCGGAACTCAGGTTGGACAAGCCCAACTACTGGGCACAGCACTCCGGCTGGTACACGTGTCCCTGTGTCTTTCACGTATGTGAGCATCCTTGTCACAAGGGCCACCTGGGACCACAGCTCCTCATCTGTGGTTCTCCCTCTGCTCTGCTGAGGCCCCGGCGGGCCCTTGAGAAAGCCTGCCCATGGGCACGGGTCCCAGCAGGGCCCACCCACCCCCTGGCAGGGAGGCCCCTCTGCCTCAGGCCTTAGAGTGGTGTATTCGCGGGTGCTCGGGCCTGGCTCGCCTTGGCAGTCTGGTCTTGAAGAGGGACTTGCCAGAGGCTTCGATGTAAGTGACGCTCATCTCTTTGGGGCTGATCTCCACGTAGGTAAAGCCACCCAGCGAGTCCTCGGCCCCGTAGTGGAAGCGCAGGTAGCCGTTGGGAACCTTGCGCAGATGCTTTTTCGAAGGGTCCATGAAGTTTCCGGCCCCACTCAGCACGTAGCCCACGCCATTCTCATCCTGAAGGTACTGTGCACAGAGGGCGTCGGGTCAGTGGGGGCCCCAGCCCCTCGGTGAAGTTGACCACCGGCTTTGTGCCCGCCTGTCTGGAGTCCGGGGCCAGGTCTGTCCCTGACCCCAGAGTCATCTTGGGCAAGGACCAGAACCCCTCGGGGCCTCAGTTTCCTTGCCTGTAGCAATGTATCCATCCTACTTCACAGCCTGAGAACTGAGTGAGCAATTGGCCCCTGGTGGCTAGTATGCTGACTTTTAGGAAACTTTGGGCTGTTTTCCAGGTTAGACAGCTTACAGCTTAAGGGACATTTGGGAGATCTCCCCCCTGCCCCCACCCCAAGCAGCAGGAGGATCCCATGCGGCACCATTGGCTGGGCTGGGGACCCCCCTTCCCCTCCTCCCCCACAGACCCCTCACCTGCAGGTTGTGGTCATGGCCACACAGGTAGGCAGTGACCTTGTACGTGGCCAGCAGTGGCATCAGTTGCTTGACCAGGCAGTGGGTGGGCCCATGCTCGGCGATGGACCACACGGGGTAGTGGCCAGCCACCAGCACGTAGTCCTCCTTGGCCGCCGCCAGCTGCTTCTTGAGCCAGGCCAGCTGTGTGCGGGCCAGCACCGGGTCACGGGGCCTTTCGGGCTGCTGGCTCAGGAAGTCATCTGAGTTGCCACACAGCGTCACCGTGTCCAGCATGAAGATGGCCACGGACACGTTGGACCGTGGGACTTTGAAGCGCAGACGGTAGTAAGGGCTGGGGAAGTTCCTGTGGGGGAGATGGAGGCAGATGAGCGCCGGGTTCGGCTCAGGCCCCAGGGGGCCTCTCTGTCCACCTGGGTGAGGCATGGAGGAGGGCGTGGGGCAGGCTCACCAACGCTGAGAGATCCTGGAGTAGGCTATCTGTGCTGAGACGTTCCCCAAGTGGTCGTGGTTGCCAGCCAGCACGTACCAGGGCACGTTGCGGAGGGAGGAGGCAGAGAACACATCCTCAAAGGTCTCCTGCGGCACACAGAAGGGACACGCCCCCCCCAAACCCCAGGGTCAAGCAGCTACCCTGATGCTCCCACCAAGTCCAGGGGTCCAGGGACAAGGGAGACAAGGAGTGCTCTAGGTACCCACAAGTGTCAGCTTCCCTCTGCCCTCTCCACAGTCCAAAGGTCGAATGGCTTTTCCACACGTGTCCCCCACCCCCCTGGCACATACCCGAAACCTCTTGTCATTGGCATCCTGCACGCCAGTGAAGTAGAAATTGTCCCCCAGGGACAGGATGAAGTCTGCGCCAAGGATCTGCACGGTCCTGGCAATCTCTTTGGCATTGGCCGTCTCCCGAGCGGTGTAGAACGGGGCATTGGGGACTCCTCCCCAGTCACCCAGAGCCACAAAGCGCAGGACGGGGTTGGCTCCGTCAGCCAGGGGGAGCACCAGCAAGGCTTGAAGGATGAGCAGCACAGTCTGTGTGTCCATCTGGGATGGGGAGAGACAGGAGCTGGAGCGCCCGGGGCTGAGGCACGGGCAGCGGGCCCTTGAGAACCCTGCCCTGAGAGAGGGGGAGACAGCCCCCTGCAGGGCTGGCCCAGGGGGAAGCCCTGGGTGGGGCCCTCGTTCCCAGGACTTCAGGGCAGGAACCGGCTGGGAGGGTCAGAGGCTAGGCGGGGTCCAGGGGCAGGGAAGGGTGGCAGTGCAGGCCCCTTCTGGCTACCCTCATCCCACACCCAGCACTCACCCTGGGGGAGGCACAAGCCAGTCAGCCAGGGGCTCAGAGAGGCAGGTTAGCTCCTGGGCAGAACTGGCGGGTCACTGAGCCTTTATTCCCTGGGGCGGAAATGGATCATTAGTGAGGATGATGCAGTTTCTCCGCAGACTGTTCCAGAAGCCCTCCCCTTGGGTCATGTGAGCTTTGGAGTTCCCCAGTGCTGGACACGGGATTCGGGTGGGGGGTCTGGCCCCCGAGTGAGTGCAGCTGGCCTTCCCTCGCAGCCTGTGTTTGCCCACATGAGCTTGTTTGTGTCGTGCGCCCCAGGCACCCCGTTATCTGTGTGTGCCGTGTCTGTGGTTGTATCTGTGTGCCCCAGCCAGACACATCTTGTGTGTCCATGAGCTCCCAGGACGTGTTTGTCCGCCTGTGTCTGGGTGTGTCTGCACTGTTTCCTGTGTGTAGCCAAGCGTGCCTGCCTGGGTCACATGTCTGTTGTGTGCCCGGGAGTCCTTTGTCCCTGTAGATGCGCACATGGAGCTTGGCAAGGCCTGCGTGGCGTGTCGGTTTCATTTGCCTGGGTTCTAAAGTGGAACTGTGTGGGATATCGATTTGTGTCCCTGAGTTGTGGCCTGAGTCCTGTGGTGGGTCTGTGTCGTGTCTCACGTGAGTTGTGTGTTTGACAACATCCGGGTTTGAGTCCCAGGGTCGCCTCCCTCCCCCAAACACCAGGGTCTCCCTTTTCCAGGAAGTCCTGCCCACACCTTCCCCTCCTCCCCCCACCCCCATTCCCCACAGGAGAAGCCCAGGCAGTGACACCCACATGACCACTGATTTTTGACCCTCACACTGCCTGCAGGCCTCTCAGTGCCGGCTGCGCCTGAGAGTAGGTAGGCAGGTGGGCGCTTGGACAGTGGGCACCCCCACCCCCACCCCCACCCCCGCACTGGTGCCCTGTCGGACCTGCCCCTGTCCCTCCTGCCCGCCCTGACTCCAGACTCGTCCCCTGCACACTCACGACGGGCCGATGGGGGGGCCTCTCTTTCAACGCGGAGGCTCAGCGAGGTGAGGTGACCTGCCCCGGGTCACCCAGCACAGGCTGGCTGTTTGTGCCTCCCGCCCCCGCAGCCCGGACAAACAGGAAATGGGTCACCCCGGCAGGCGGAGCCCCCTCCCCCGGGGCCCCCCCGCGGCGTTCACACCCGCCGGACGGGTCTCACCTGCCGTCGTCGGGGTCGGCGGCCTTGCAGTTGGGGGGGGACCGGCGGCAGGGGCGCGGGGCGCTCGCGGTGGCGGGCAGCTCGGCTTGCAGGAGGCCGCGGCCTTCCCGCCCCGTCCACGGGCCCGGGGCCGGCCCAGGTGATACCAGGCGGGGAGGGCGGGCGCCTCGGCCTCCCGGGGCCCCGGCCGCCGCGCCTCTGAATCCGGCTGGTCCGCCCGAGCGCCGCCACGCCTCCGGGGCGCGGGCGGCTCGTCTGTAAAATGGGGTTCAGCACCCCAGGGGGCGGCCCAGGCCCACCGATTGGGCTGCAGCTCTGGCCAGCGACGGGGCTTAGAGACCGGAGTTCCTCCCTCTGCCCCCACGCAGGCCGAGTCGCCCCCTTCCTTCACACCTGGGGCACCCACAGCCCGCGATGGCTGGGTAGGGCCTCACCCTGGGCCGGGCCACCCTCTCGAGAGGAAGTATGTCGTCTTCAACCTCAGCTTCCTGGTCTTTAAAATGCGTGTGAGGGCAGAAAAGTCAAATCTTCCCTAGAAAGAATTCCAAATAAGTGGAAAGGCCCCTCCAGGAGCTGGAACTCAACCCTTACTGCCTCCTTTTGAGTGTGGACTGGACTCAAAGGAGTTAGTGACTTTCATCCAAAGAATTAAGTATGGAAAAGCAAAAGACAGGAACCGTCCAGGGGAGACACCTGGCAGACACCGCCTTAACCAAATGGTGCAGGCTAACATCCCTGGGGATAAGTCTTACTAACATCATGTCATGAGAAGGGCACCTTGCCACTGTGGGTTTCTTCCCAGGAACCTGTAACCACAAGCTGAGGGTGCGAAAAATAACACCTAGGAAACACTCAAATTGAGTGATATTCTATAAAATACATGACCCGTATTTGCAAAAATGTCCCAGTCGTGAAGAAGAAAAGTTTGAGGAGCTGCCACAGATTGCAGGAGACCCAGGAGACATGAGGACAAAATCCAATGTGGGATATTGGACCAGAAAAGGGGCAATTGTGGAAAAACTGGTGACATCCAAATAAAGCCTGAATGATCCTGGAGTGCCCTGCACCATCTTTTGCCACTTTTCTGGAAATCTAAAATTATTCTAAAATTTTTTTTAAAAATTTACTCTGAAAAAAGGGAATGATCCAAGAAACCGAAAATTTTATTCAACACATATTGAGCACCCACTGTATACCAGCTGACCCAGCAGTGAACAAGACAGACAGGAAAACCTGCTCTGTTGGGGCAGGGAAATTTATACTCTAGCTTTTAATTACTTTCCTTTCTTTGGGGATGGGGTGGGGCCTTCCCTTTCCATTTTATATTTTATGTACTGTTTGGATTTTGGCTTGAAAAGTCTTGTTAGTTATTTTGCCAGTCTTCCTCTTAACATACCTATATGTTAAAATGTAAACCCAGGGCACAAACCCCTTCCTCTTAACATACCTATATGTTAAAATGTAAACCCAGGGCACAAAGACCTCATTTCAGATTCAGGGCAATGGATGTTTTCTGGGGAGACAGGGGCTAGAGACAAGGGGAGCTGGGAATGGGGCTTCTACTTTCTCCTTACTGTTTTCTTTCACCAAAAAAAAGGAAAAATATTTAAAGCATTTAGGACTGAGTGTTAACATTTGCTTCTTTATGTGGAGGGTGCCGGGGTGTTTTAGGGATTATCTTCTCTGCTTTTTGTGTTTTTTCATTTTTTATTTTTTTGAGATCCCACAAGATTATATTTATTATCTTTTTGTAGTACATGGTCTTCATAAAAAAGTTAGAAAATACTGAAAAACAGAAAGAAAACCATTACATTCGCCTGTCATACCCCTGCCCGGAGAGTCACTATCCATTAAGTTTTTTTCCCTGTCAATTATTCTATGCCTACATTTGTCTTCAGAAAAGTGGGATACCAGTGATACATACCATTTTATAGTTTTTTCAAGTGTTAACATTTTCCATATTTTTTTAATTTATTTATTCATGAGAAACAGAGAGAGAGAGAGGCAGAGGCAGAGGGAGAAGCAGGCTCCCCACAGAGCAGGGAGTCCAATGCGGGACTCGATCCCAGGACCCCGGGATCATGACCTGAGCCTAAGGCAGACGCTCAACCGACTGAGCCACCCAGGCGTCCCTCCATATTTTTTTAAATGAAAAAAGTGCAGGGGTGCCTGGGTGGCTCAGTTGGTTAAGCGTCTGACTCTCGATTTTGGCTCAGGTCATGATCTCAGGGTTGTGAGATCAATCTCCATGTTGGGCTCTGCGCTGAGCAGGGAGTCTGCTTGAGATTCTCTCTCTCCTTCTCCCTCTGCCCCACCTCAAATAAATAAATAAATCTAAAAACAAAAACAAAAACAAAACGAAAGAGTGCAGGGCGCCTGGGTGGCTCAGTCGGTTAAGCGACTGCCTTCGGCTCAGGTCATGATCCTGGAGTCCCGGGATCGAGTCCCACATCGGGCTCCCTGCTCAGCAGGGAGTCTGCTTCTCCCTCGGACCCTCCCCCCTTTCATGTACTCTCTCTCTCTGATTTTCGCCCCCTCAAATAAATAAATAAATCTAAAAACAAAAACAAAAACAAAACGAAAGAGTGCAGGGCGCCTGGGTGGCTCAGTCGTTAAGCGACTGCCTTCGGCTCAGGTCATGATCCTGGAGTCCCGGGATCGAGTCCCACATCGGGCTCCCTGCTCAGCAGGGAGTCTGCTTCTCCCTCGGACCCTCCCCCCGTTTGTGCTCTCTCTCTGTCAAATAAATAAATAAATCTTAAAAAAAAAAAAAGAAAAGAAAAAGTGCAAAAGCGTGGGCACATGATTAAAAGAAACCAGACTTTGTGCTGAGCATGTGGATTCCTGGCTTTATCTCTCTGGTCACCTCCTGGGTTCTGAATAAACTCTTATCCTTCCATTTCCCCAGCGGAGCCCTGTTCTGCCCATTTTCTATGGAGGTGGATCAGGATTTGGCTCCCTCTTGCCTTGCTTCCCAACACCAACGTCAATCCTATGGTTGAGTTCCTCCTTTGGCTTCTGGAGGCCCTGCCCTCTTCCCACAACAGTCACACTCCTGTGGCCTCTCACCCTTCCTGGAATAGAGCCTCACTCTGACCTCAGGGCCTTGGCTCTTGCCATTCCACTGGCCTAAAAGGCCCTTCCTTCCCCAGATACTCCGTGGCTCCTCCCCATTGTATTCAAGTTTCTGTAATGTATCAAAAATGCACCCTACCCCCATCAGACTCCCTCTCACCCTCCTCACCCTCGGTAGCCCTTATCGCTGCCTGACAACCACACACCTGCTCATCTCATTTTCTGTCTGTCTCCCCACCAGAAGGAGCTCTTAGGGCACACGAACTCTCTTCGTCTGGTTCACTGCTGTTTTCTTTGGCATCTGGAAGCTGGAGCACAGAAGGGCCATTGCTGAGGAATTACCTGGGGAGTGATGGAATGAAGGAACACCCTCAGGACACACACACTCTTCCCTCCTGTCTGAGGGTCCAGCCTACCCTACTCTCCTGGCTTCATCCCTTGAGTGAGTTCCATCAACTCCCTTGTAACTTGCTTCGGTTCTAACCTGGTTGTTGTTGTTGTTGTTGTTGATAATCTGCCCAGGACAAAACTCTTGGAGGTATTTCAATGACCCCTGATTAGATTCTGCATCTCTCTCATGTCCAGGTCACAGTGCTCAAGTCACACTAAAAGCAACCAAGTCCTACCTCAGGGCCTTTGCATTGCTGTTCCCGTCACTGGGCCACTGTCCCTCATCCTCTTGTCAATGAGTACTTGGCTTAAATGCCACCTCCTCAGACTATCCTGACCTCTTGACTCAATTAGCAGCACCCCCGTCACACACTCCCCGATCTCTACATTGTCAAGCACCCCCCCACACACCTCCCCTTTGGGAGTTCCCATGAAAGCAGGTCTGCATGGACAAGCAATGTACACTCAATGGGGGTAGATGGGGGCACAGTGTTAATATGACTTCTGACAAGCGCAGGTCAGTGAAGGGCGCTGTGCACCAGACTGCCACGTGTGGTGAGGATAGCCCCAGGTGGGAGGCAGGTAGGTAGGGATAAGGGGCTCACAGGCACACAGGAACAAGTGTCTGGAGCCATGAAGTGTGGACTTGATCTGGAGGTGACAGGTATGGAGGATGGGTTCTGAGCTGTGTTTTTACAAGATCAGTTTGGGGAAAAACAAGACAAAGACAGATCTGTATGTATACCCTCTATTTATCTATATCGGTTTTTTTTTTAAGATTTTATTTATTTATTTGAGAGAGAGAGAGTGAGAGAGAGAGGAAATGCGCGAGAGGGGGAGGGTCAGAGGGAGAAGCAGACTCCACACCGAGCAGGGAGCCCGATGCGGGACTCGATCCTGGGACCCCAGGATCATGACCTGAGCCGAAGGCAGCTGCTTAACCAACTGAGCCACCCAGGCGCCCCATCTATATCAGTTTTTATCTATTTAGCTGTCTACCCATCCATTTATCCATCTTTACGTCTGTCTGTCTGTCCATCCATCTGTCACACTATATCGTGATCTAGAACTACAAGTGCTGGTGGCTATACACCAAAAGGAAATTCTGGTGCCAACAGGAACCCAATTAAAAGTGGTATCCCTGGAGCACCTGGGTGGCTCAGTCGGTTAAGCGTCTGACTCTTGATTTCGGCTCAGGTCTTTGATCTCAGGGTCAGGAGATCGAGCCCCAAGATGGGCTCCATGCACAGCGGGGAGTCTGCTTCTCTCCTTCTCCCTCTGCCCCTCCCCCACTCTCTTTCTTGCTCTCTTTCTCAAATAAATAAATGAATCTTTAGTTTTTTTAAAGATTTTATTTATTTGTGAGAGAGAGAGAGAGAGGGAGAGAGAGCACAAGCAGGGGGAAGGGTAGAGGGACAA